CAAGGCCTTGCTTCTTTGGCTGTGTAGATGAATTTTTGTTGCATTGGAAAGTAGCTACATGTTCAACCTTGTTGCAATTCCAATGTTTTATTGCATGAGAACAATCTTTTATCACTATAGAAGAATGAAAGCTTAATACAAGATGCTTTTATGTCTTTTTGGATTTGATAAAGTGGTAGTCTATACCTACAAAAGAGAGCTTTTAGGTAATAGTTATCATCCTGTCTTCTGGTATTGTTGCTTGTGCATCCATTCAATGGATGGCAGCATTGACTTGATATGGAGGGGTCTCTTTCCTGAGCTTCTGTTATAAAAACAGCCACAGCTGGAGAATCATAAGGAAGGTTTGTGTTATATTTAATAGCAGATGGAGTGGTCTGATTACTAAGTTTCATTGTAGGAACAGAACATGCTGATTTTTTTTGGAAGGTGTGTGTTAAATGTATGATCTCTGTCAGGGTTTTTCCTTTTTTTCATATATTCGATTGCACTTGAATGATTATAATTTTGTGGTTTCCTTCTTCTGACTTGTCATTTGAGAATTTTAGGCACATTTCGTGTTTTATGTGAATTATGTTTCTTCTTGATCATAGTGTATAGGGTAAAATACTTAGACTTCTTTAAATTTTAATAAAAATTTTATTTTAAATTTATCAATTTTCAAAACAGATAATTTATCTTAAAAAAATATCTTTCATTAAACAAATAGATCTAACCGATAGTTAATCATTATTATTTTTTTAGTTTGATAGTGTGATAATATTAAAAAAATAATTTTATTTTATATTTATTTTAAAAATTATTATTATATAAATTATATTTTTACAAAAAACAAAATTAAGCTAAGGGAGGAGAACGCCAATCAATGCTTTTCAAGGAAAGGAGCATCGATCTAGTGCTGCCCAAGGAAATGAGCACCAATTTGGTGCTCCCCTCCCTTAGAGAGCACTTGCCATGGGGTGGTCAATAGGTGAATGGAAACGCATTAGCTGATCACATTATTTGAGAAAAAAAATTAATTTTTTTATATATTTTGTTAACGGTGTTTATAATTTTAAATTTTATTATTTATTTTAAAAATTAATAAATTTACGTGAAATTTCGATTAAAATTTCAAGAGATTTAATCATTTTACCCTAATATATATAAATGATGTAGTACCAAAAAATGGTGCCAATTTTCTGCATGTTTTCTGCTTAGAGCACATGAAAGTTGCTGAAACTGGTTGAATAAGCTTTCTTTTTTTTTTTTTGTTTTTGTTTTTGTTCATACGGTGAAACCTCATAGTTTTCTGTATTAATGTTGGTCAGTTTGATTCTTCCATTTTTTCCTTGGGAAAACTCAGGGAGAAAATAAGGTGTTACTTCACATTACCATGCACGATTACACTAGGATTGCAGTAATTTGTAGTAAGTTTCAACTGGTTTTGTTACAGGATACAAGGATAAAGAGCAATAAAACATGATACACAGACTACAAGTAATGTGTTTGGATGGTGCAATTGGGTTAGCAATTGCATTAAGAAAATGGGTAACACCTCTCAGTATCAAGTTCCCCTAATTAGACTCTGGAAAATATCCTAAGAACATAGTCATTAGAACAGTGTTTGTAAAAATGATTTCTGCAAAATATGTATTTGATTAAGAAGCTATTTTCCGATTAACGAACCGATCTTTAATGAAATAATTTTACCTAAATCATTAAAGAGATGGATTTACATGTAATTTCAATGGACATTAAATTGTTTATTATAATTATTTAGGTTTGATTATAAATTAGATGATGGGATGTGAAGAAGTTATATAATCTTATAATTTAATATAAAATTAAAATAAAAATGTTTCCAAATAGTATATAGTTCACAAACAAAATATATTGAGAATCAGAGCCTTCATCTGAGGACTCCCAGAACTGGTTTCACAGACAAATAAAACTGTTTTACTTGATAAGATACAAAATTAGAAAAGCATCCTCAAAACCATCCATGCAAGTGCCATGTCAAGCTCAGAAGAAGAACCCGGCAAGAGCTGCAACACCAAGGATGCCAGAGGCTTTGAGAGCAGCGGCTCCAGAGTTGCCTGGTGCTGGTGCGGGAGTGCCATCAGCTGTGGGGCCGTCAGCAGAAGGGCCAGAAGCAGGGGCCTCGTCGGTTGGGGCAGGAGGGGATGCGAGCTCGGGGGCCTCAGCGGAAGGGCCCTCGCTGGGGCTCTGGCTTGGGGTGGAGCTCTTGGGGGAAGCAGCAGCTGAGCTGGGGGCTTGGGATGGGGAATGAGCGGATTTTGGCGATGCGGCGGGGCTGCTAGACTTCTTGGGGGAAGGAGATGGGGAGGAGGATGACGACTTGGGAGAAGCAGCAGGGGAAGAAGATGGCGACTTTGAAGATGAACCCTTGGGAGCAGATGATGGGGATGACGCAGGTGACTGATCAGCGGCGAATGCCCCAGCAACAGCCATGAGAACAAGGGCAAGAACAACCAGTTGACGTGCCATGTCTTCTCTTTGTTTCGTTCGAAGGTGATTCAAAAAGGAATGCAGTAGTTTCTCTAAAGATATATAGAGAAAAACACTGCAATGCTGATGAATGATTTGAAAAAAGCCAGAGGCACAAGGTATATATACACAGCTTCAGAGAACCCTTGCACCCAATTTGGCTGACCGAGTTTGATGGTTTATTTGTGGGAGAAAATCAATCTTCAACACCTCGCCATAACATGGCTTTGCCTTTCTTGGGCAACCCTTCCGCTTCTTTTGCTCTCTTTTGTTAGAAACTTTGACAAATGAACAGGTCATTTGCAAAAATTAGACTCATACGAGGGGATGTGGGTTTATTGTAAATTCATATTTCATATACTAATTCATGTATTATTACTTAATTACGAAATGTCATTTTATGAATATAAAGCTAAAACTTTAAAAACTTTTCATTAACTTTTAAATTTATTTATAATGAGATAGTAATATTTGATTTATTTAGACACGGATAGTGTATCAAATATAAACCCATTGATCATTTCTCACAAACAAAAGAGAATAGTGCAATCAAAAATTATATAATTAACAAATTTCTAGCTTGTAAATGATTTATTTGGAGATCTTTCACATACTCAATAAATATTATTGTTTTGTTTTAGTTGATTTTATGATTATTAGTTTTAAAATTTACATAATAGAGTTATATTTTAATTTAATCGTATTAATCGATTATATGAGTTTTAAATCATGTTGTGTGTATAAAATTTAATAAATGTGTTAGACATATATTATACTTTTAATAAATGTAATCATATACACGCTTAAACATCAGCCTTAACATGAGTTTGTCTTTTGTTAAAAAGTTGACAAATAAAAAGGTAATTAGAAAAAAAAATTAGGGTTTAGGGTTTATCTTTTCTTTTTCTATTTATATTAATATATATATTTATTTATTTAGGGAAAGGGAGCAACAAAGGATGGAATGAAAATCTACACCAAATTTCTCCAAAGAAATTAAAAGCTACAGCCGATCAAGCTATGGCTATAATGAAGAACATTAACCAGCAATAGAAGATAGGGAGGAAGAAGATTGAACATTTTAATAATTTTTTTTATATTATTGAGTTTTTAAGTATATTAAGATAATTATCAAATTGTGAGTATATATTAAAATTCATACTAGAAGAATAATTTTTAAAAATATTCATGTATTTGTAGGGTTCGAGTATTTTAAAATTAACAGGTATACTACCCGTTGACAACCTTACATATTTTGATCTTGAGTATGTTGTGAATTTATATTTGATGTACTGTCGCTATGTAGTATTTATATATTATTACTTACTCAGGAAATGTCAATTTATGAATATATAAAGATAAAAGTTCAAAATTTTTCAAAAATAAAATAATTTTAAAATTATCGATATTTATTTTTGAAGAGTTTTAAATTTTAAATTTATCTATTAATGAGATGATAATATTTGATTTATTAATACACAGATAGTGCAATAAATATAAATCTTTTGATAATTTTTCACAAGTAAACAAAAAAATATATAATCAGATACCATATAATTAATAATTTTTAAAAATTATAAATGATTACTCCAATTAAGAATATTAAAATGGAATAATTGACATATGGACTTCAAATTTTTTTGCCCCAGATCCCAATAAACAGGTGAAACATATGACATTAATCAGATTATTTAAAAAATAAAAAACTTAATTAATGGTAAATTATACTTACTTAAGTCATTATATTGCAACAATTAAATTAAATATTGAACAATCATAATGCTTATGCTTAACGAATTCATCAATGTCATCAATTTTTTTTTCTTCGTGATAAAACTAACACTAATTAACCTATTAATTTATTATTAGACTTGACAATTTCGTTTTAAATGTATCAAACTCATTTAATTTGTTTAATTAATCATGTTATTACGTATCTATATAATCAATTACCTATTATTAGGAGAGATGAGAGATTCGAATCCTACTTTTGAGACAGAGGAATAATGTACCAACCAATGAGCCAAATGCTCGGATGTAATCCATTACCTATTTATTATTCATTTAATTAATAATGTTTATGTGTCTACTTGTTACTCATTTAATATCAAAATAAATTTTTTAATGATTTATTTGGAGATATTTCACATACTCGATCAATATTATTGCTTTGTTTTAGTTGTTTTTATAATTGTTAATTTTAAATTATAAAATAAAATAAAATTTTTATTTAATCGTATTAATCAGTTAAACGAATTTTAAATCATATCATGTATATAAAATTTAATTCTGTTTAATAAATGTGTTAAGTATGTTACATCCTATTACAATTTTAATAAATATAATCATAAACATATTAAATTTTTGACACATTAATTAATGATGTCTTATTCTTGTTATTCTATATAATTAGTAATATTTTATATTTACATCATAAAATCTAAAATTTAAAAAAATATAAGTTCTTGGCTTTTATAGAAAAAATAGAATTTTCTTAAAATAAAAAATAAACAAAATATGGCAACTAACCCTTGAAAAGAGAAAACCCGAACCCGCCAGCAAGAGAGCTGCTCGATCCTCTGCCCAAAAACCCAATAGAGAAAAATGGCAGAGGAACCCGCCCCGAAACCTGGATTAGAAGGACGCACCGTTGAGGAATGCCAAGACATGATCCAAAGAAGTTTCCGGAGTAAAGTTTCAAGTTTCTTTTCATTTTTTGTTAAATGTATAATTTTCATGGCTTTAATGAGGTTTAGTGCTTTAGTTTTTTTCAAAGGTTTTGGCTAATACCCATTTCGAATTATTGGTGGAAATTCCTAGGAACAGCATATGGGAGATGTTCAATTGTGTTGCTTTACTTGCTGGATTGGAGTGTTCAGGGTTTAGGGTTTTAGGACAGTTTTTTAGTTCTTTTGGGGTTTTTGCTAATGCCCAGTTCAGAATTAATGGTAATTGTTTGGAAAGATAAATTGGAATTGTCAAATTTTGTTGCTTTTAGATTCAAGTATTCAGGGTTCACGTTTTAAGGGTTTCTGGGTTTTGGGTTCTGTTTTTAATCAATTCCATTTCTGAGATTTATGACTAAGAATTGAAGTTTTTTTATAAATGCTTTTCTGGTTTGGAGTGTATTTTTGAGTTTCCAATTATCTTTTTTTGTAATTTTTCTCCTACCTTTTTTTCCCTGCATTACTTAGCAACAAACAGGGTTATTTATGATTGAATAGGCCATTTATTAATTTTTTTATTTATATATTTTGAATAGCTCCAATGGTGAAATTTTTGAAGGAGCATTTGGAGAAAGCTGGGTGCACGTTTGGGGATAATTTCATCAAGGCAGTTCATTGCAACAACCAGATTAGTGGAGGCTATGTTCGTGGTGAAGGAGTAAAACTCTTTTGCCTTTTTGTCTTAACTTTACAAATAGTGCTTTGAAAAATTAGTCCAACTAGTGTAGGTTATTGAATATGGTAATTTGACTGTTTAAGAGTGAATTACTGTACAGAATGAGTTTAAGTTATAATGCCTTTTTATATGCTGACAAGCTGTTATGAAGCTTTGTTTTCCTTGTTAAATCATTTCCTAGGATTCTGAATTTGGTGCAACAGCTCATTAGAGTTACTCCTTTTCTTTTCACTATTTTTTGTGTACGTGTTCTAGATTATGGTGTGCAGCAACCATATCAACATGCAAGACGAGGTCAATCAAGTAGTTATACATGAGCTTATTCATGCGTATGATGATTGCCGTGCTGCAAATTTGGACTGGGCAAATTGTGCTCATCATGCCTGTAGTGAGGTATGTGTCAAACTGGGCAATTACAATAGTTTAATGTTTTGCATTTGGCTCTCCTCAAACGTGGTCTCTCTTGGTACATTTGGTAAGTAGAGGTCGTAATGTTTTCTTCTATAATTACAGATTCGTGCTGGCCATCTAAGCGGTGATTGCCACTACAAACGGGAATTGCTGCGAGGTTATATGAAGATAAGGGGCCATGAACAAGTGAGTTATTTTCCCCCTTATTTCATTTCATTAGATATTTTTGATTTAAAATCTGTCTTAAGTGGTATTTTAAATTTGAATTAAGTGTAAGGGTGGCAGCAAGATGGTAGTCAAGTGACCTGTTTCTCTTGAAGTTAGCTATTAGTTATTTTTTTTTCTATTTTACTTACGTAATTAATTAAAATTATTTTAGGGTTATCTCTAGGTTGTTTATATCAGTTGGTTTTATCACCAAGGTTTGGTTATCTTGTACAGTGTTGGCATCCTATAAACCAAATTCTCAAGTAGGAGTTGTGCTATGAAGTTGAAGTCAAATAAAACGTTAAGTAGTTGAGTCCCTAAAAGGAGCTCATCCTCTACTTCTCAATTCATTGTTTGTTGTTGGACCAGCCCTTAATATCTAGTTCTTCCCATTTACCATTCTTGGTTCCAGCTTGTTACAATGTTGCACTTGTAGAGCTAAGAAAGAAGTTTGTGATGAAAGCAGAGTTTATCTTACCAAGGATTTTCCTTGTTTATACAAAACTCATATTTTTGTGTATTTTACCTTATGTGTTCTTTTTAACATTGTCTTAAAGATATGCTGTTTATAATTTTCTTTAACTTAGGGTGTGCTTGATAAACTATTGAAAATGAAAATTTTCAATGGTTTAATTTTCTCCAATGTGTTGGATTACTCAATTTAAAAACCACTTTTCATTCTTATTTAACTCAAAATTTGTCATTTAATTACATTGACCTTATATTCTTTCCTTTTGAATTATTTATTTTTCCATATTAACTTTTATTAATGTAAAATACTTAAGAAAAAAAAATCAACAAGACATCTATTTAGTGTTTAATTTTCAGTATGATACCAAACTATTGTTACAGTAAATTCAGCATTAAATTTTTGTACTTTATCAAACAGCAGCGTAGCTATGGTTTTTCTGATATAGTTTCTCTTCTATATTCTCTATCAATCTAAGTAATTTAAGTTTTGGTTTTAAAGGACTGTGTGAGAAGAAGAGTTATGAAATCAGTGACTGCTAACCCTTACTGCTCTGAAGCAGCTGCAAAGGATGCCATGGAGGCCGTGTGGGATATCTGTTACAATGACACAAAGCCCTTTGACAGAGCTCCTTGAAATTTGGTCATAGCAATCCCAACCAGTTTCTGCTAGGCATATCATTTCTAATGATTCAGGAAAGAATCCTATTTTTGTTTTGTAGGATAGGAACATGCCCTGGTTCTTTGATTGCATACATTTCAATCTAAAGAGAGTATTCATTTCTCTAAGAGGCATTTTAACCCTCTTGGAGATGACTGAAAGGAACGGATTGTACCATTTCTGAATGTTACACAAATTCTATACCAATGGTTATTGAGGTCAGATTAAGAGAATATGAATCCTCATTATACCAATTTTGTTGGATTCACTAACTTTTCACCCTCCCCAAACATCCCTTTTGCTTTTTATTGCTTCAAGTTGGGGTTGATAAGATGCTGTTGGTTCTCCAATCATTCGTTTTCTAGCATGAATAAAATAAGCATATGTTCTTCAGAAATGACCTCACAAGTCAAAAGAGGTTCTGCTTTTTGGTGAACCATGCATTTGAAATTTGACTTGTTATAACTGTGATATCTGATGGAGTTTTCTGCCTTGATTTCCTGTATCGTAGTTGTAGGAATCAAGGTTCATTGTCACAAAGGAAAAAAAAAAAGGAGGAAAACAAGGTTCAAGAATGGCCACTCTACATGTTTAAATAATTAAAAAAAAATACAAGAGCTATGAGATTATTCAAAATTTCGATTCATCAAGTCAACATAGAGTTTGAGCCACGGGCAAAATCTGTTCATATCAGGAATACACTTTTGCTGTTCCATGGTGGCCAAAAGAATTCAGTATGATATTCCCCGTAGTTGCCAGTCAAGCAATCCATTCAGCCGTTCACATTTGCGCTTTCTTCCACGTTGATAGTTATCAATCCAACTATGAAATCATGAACGGACGAAGCGTCAGGTTCATTGGGTAGCTGCTAACAGAATCGCCTGATTGGCTTTGCTTCTTCAGTCTCACAATGTAGATGGGTGTAAACAGGCAGAGTTTATTTCTCGAGTATGGACCACGTGGTGGCACCGGCACTGCTTTTTGTCCTTTCGGAGAAATGGGTCTTAGAAAGAACTAAAAGAAACCAGCCCCAGGCCCCCAACATGTCCTGCACGGAAACCAATGATATCCTCCTTCAAACTTTCCATGGTAGCCAGATTCACCCATGCCGCATGCCTCTTCACTATTCTATAGAACTTTTCTTCTATCTGTGGACCCTTTTCTAGTCTTTAGAACTTTATCCAGATGACATATGGCTAATATAAATAGAGGCCCTGAAGTTCATGTCAGTTTGAAAACAACAAAGTGTTCAAATTAGCTGGGGATAGTGGGAAGGAGCATGGAGAAGCATTGACATGAAGGCAGGCGTGGTGCTCAAGCTGTTGATTTGCCTCTTCTTGCTTGGTCAATACCAAATATCAGCAGCCAGGCCAGGTATTTCAGGTTGTTTTCTGCATGAGAATTGAGGATCACATGAGCCATAGAGGCCTTGTTAGTGCTCACAGGTTTTTGGTTGCTGTTGCAGGAATGGTGGGATTAAAGGACCAGCATCAGGAAATGAATGGGAAGCAGGTGAATGGGCAAGAGCCAGTGCCTCAGTCTCAGTTGTGGACCGAGGATTATTCTCTTCCTCGCAGGAGACGGCCTGTACACAACAAGTTTGATCCCTAAATGAGGCATTGCCCTCCATTTTGTGCGGACAAGGAATTTACTTCAACTGCTTGTGATGACTCAGTTATGATCAGCTAGTTGTTTGATAGCTTTTATATAAAGATTGGAGCATACCAGTCTTTGTTTTTTTTTTTTTCTCCTTTTGGTAGAAGAAGGAACATTGTGGCACAAAACTAGCCAGAATTTCTAGGTTACATCTTGAATTCCTCTCTTTATCTACAGTTTTGTTAATATAAAACACTTAAACCCCAGGCAGATAGTTTAATATTGTGGGAATCTTTACATTTTCTTCATGTGAACAACAATGGAGACAACATTCTCATAAAAAATAATTATTACAAAAATAATACTACCAAAAAAAATATTAATTAAAATTAAAAAAAATTACATTACAATATTTAATTTAAAAACATTCAATTAAGAAATTACTACTCGTATCCAATCGTAATAAGAAATATTATTGATTTTTTTTACACAATTTAAGCTAATAAACAATTTGCAATTCATAAAATAATTCAAACTCTATATGAAAGGAATCTTCATAAACTTTTTTTTTATCTCACTATTTCTTTTATGTTTCCACTTTAGATTATGCAAATAAAGTGCTTAAAATTGAAATCAAATGTCCCTAATCCCGATCCTAAGAACACTAGGAAAAGGTAGCATGCATGGAAACGAAAAAAGAAAAAAGAAAAAAGCCCTGGAGCCATGTTACAAAGGGCAATATCCACAGATTTTGTCTAACCTTACTTTTCTTTGTTAAATGCTAGGCATAACAATCACAGCATTCTCCTTGGATGTGACTAATTTGCCCATTCTCCCCTTCCTTCTTTGTCCCAAAATCTGGTTGGTTCTGAAATGTCCCTGTAAGTCATGTTGCAGCAGGTACGGTATGCTGAAAGTACGAACCATGTGCAAAAGTGGCCTAGGCCTAGGACCAACGAACCCAGTTTGGCTAAAATATTTTGAGCCACTGAAAGTGGGCGTGGCATCCGAGATCAACCAAGTAACTTTCTTCATAGTTTATTAGATTATCTGTCATGAGACGAGTTTAGATTTATACATGATAGATAAATGTTTTTCATGATATGAGATTTTCATATCGTTGATATTAAATTTTCATTAAAAAATATTAAAATCAAAATAAATTGAATACGTACGAGAATGCTGCACAATTGGATCACTTCTGACACGTGACCTATGGTCCTGCTTCGCTCACCCTCTGTGTCGAACCTTAGTTAACAGGTTGTGACAACTCAATGTGTCATAGAATGAGAGAAACAGGAAAAGAATAAGCTTGGGGTTTCTTAGAGGAACCGTACAGAACAAAGTGAGGGAAGAAACATAGCGTAGATCGCCGGATTTAACGAATGAAAACATAAAAGATAACACTCCCTCATAGTTTCTCACGAAAACGTGTCTGTCATCTCCGCCCCCATGCGCTTTCCTTTCCCCTTATATTATTCTCCATCTTCTCTTCTCTCTAACTTCTCTTCCTCTCCTTATTCCTTCTTTTCCTCGTTGCCACTCATCTTTGCCTCCTCTCATTTCTCTCCATTTCATTCCATTTCTTTACCTGTTTCCATGGCTCCTGCCTTTGAGCAAGTCCCAGTCCCACAGGAGGGTGAAACTGCAACTCCCCATAACACTGACACTGGGAACAATGTTGGTAATGATGGTCAAGGTGGTTTTAAATCAAGGGTCACGGTGGTCGGAAGTGGCAATTGGGGTAGTGTTGCTGCGAAGCTCATTGCTTCTAACACTCTCAAGCTCAACTCTTTTCATGGAATGTGCCCATCACTTTCTTTTTTTTTTTTTTACTTCCGTTTTTTGTTGCATGCAATTATATTTCTATGTCATTTGTTGCTTGCATGGTAACTTGTGGTTGATTTAAAAACAGAGGACAGGATCACCAAAGATGTTAAATTTGTGAAATTCATATGGTTGAATGATGAAAATTTTACTAACTTATGTTTTAAGAGTATTGAGATTAATAATACCAATTGGAAGTTTTAAGATTTTAGATTTGTTGGAGCTGTACAAACTCATTTTGGAATTAAAATTCAATTTCTTCTAATCAAATTCAGATGAAGTGAGGATGTGGGTATTTGAGGAGACATTGCCAAGTGGTGGGAAGCTTACAGATGTCATTAACCGAAGTAATGTGAGCACTTGAAGACGTTCATTTGCAATTTGTTTATGAGCTTGTAAATTTCTCATTTTCTAATCGTGACTTGTTCTCTTTCACAGGAGAATGCTAAATATCTCCCTGGTATTAAGCTAGGTAAAAATGTCATTGCAGATCCAGACCTCGACAATGCAGGTAGGTTTTTTTTCCTGTTTTCTTCATGTTTCTTACAATTTTTCAGTTGGTTAAGATTTTTTAGTGCTTGTATTAAGGGATAGATGTTCAATTTGTTCACGGTCATAATGGAAATTGTGCAGTTAAAGATGCAAACATGTTGGTTTTTGTGACCCCCCATCAATTTATGGAGGGTATATGCAAGAGGCTTGTTGGTAAAGTGAGGGGAGATGTGGAGGCTATTTCCCTTATTAAAGGGATGGAGGTCAAGATGGAAGGCCCTTGCATGATCTCCACTCTTATTTCTGAGCAGCTTGGCATCAATTGTTCTGTTTTGATGGGGGCAAACATTGCAAATGAGGTAATCAGCTGATTTTACTTGAGAAATTCACATGCAATGTCATTTTGCGATTTGTTTTCCCAAAAGTAATTGGTTGAGTCTGCAGATTGCTGTGGAGAAGTTCAGTGAAGCAACAGTTGGGTACAGAGACAACAGAGAGATTGCAGAACAATGGGTTCAATTATTCAGCACCCCTTATTTCGTGGTCACTCCTGTGAGTACCATTATTGTGCTTTTTCTTTCAATTAGCATCAAATTTATGGATTTGTTTACTGTTGCAACTCTAGATAACTGCAAATCTTAACAGTCAGATAAATCTCTATGACGAATCATTGAATAGGCTGACAACATTAAAGAATGTAACCCATGTTTGTGGCTTTTGTGTTCATGAACAAACAGGTTCAGGATGTGGAAGGGGTTGAGCTATGTGGGACTTTGAAGAACGTTGTGGCCATAGCAGCTGGTATGTAGTGCGGTAACATCTTGTTTTCATTTTTCTATGTAGCTATCGAACTAACAGCAATCCTACTTCCTAGTGTTACAGGTTTTGTGGATGGACTTGACATGGGAAATAACACAAAGGTGAGTGCGTATGGTCTTTTAACATAGGTCTTACCTATTTTTGGCTGTCTGCTTTCTCACTGTTATACAAACTATTAGGCTGCAATAATGAGAATTGGTCTGAGAGAGATGAGAGCTTTCTCCAAGCTGTTATTTTCATCTGTTAGGGATAGTACCTTCTTTGAAAGCTGTGGAGTTGCTGATGTCATCACAACATGCTGTAAGAAAGCAGATCTCTTCAAACCTACTTGAGAAAATTTATCTATTTTGATACTAAAACTTTGTCATTTGTGGCAGTGGGGGGAAGAAACAGAAAAGTTGCTGAGGCATTTGCTCAAAATGGAGGAAAAAGGTTAGCCTTAACTATTTGGTCCACAAGCTTTACCAGGATATAAAGAAAATTGTGACCATACTGTTTCTCATCTACAGATCTTTTGATGAGCTTGAAGCTGAGATGTTGCAGGGCCAGAAATTACAGGTAGGTCTTAAACAAGGAAAGTATGGTCTTGAAAATAATGGAAAACAAAGATTCTGATGCGTATACAAACTGCATAGCTAAAATCTAAAGCACTAACATATTTACTATTATCTAGAATACATTAAAACAAAACCTTAACAAGTTCTTAAAACATGTACCAAATTGGAAAGACACTAATAGACTTCCTGCTTCCTAGATGGAAAAAGGATTTTCCATGAGCAATTTCAAATCAGTTTAAATTTTTAAATTAAGTCTTGGGTAAAGAAAAAAGGAAAGGTTGGCTGACCTTGCACTAGAATAAGAGTTACTATCCTCATGATGAAGAATAACAGTCATTTCTATCCTGGGAATCTAACAGATAGAAAAAGTTGTCATTCTTTAGCATTACTAAAAGATGCTTTTGAATGCACCTAGTTTGTTGCTTCTGAATTAATCTGTTATATGATATTCTTCTCCTATATTTAGGGTGTATCCACGGCAAAAGAGGTCTATGAAGTTTTAAGCCACCGTGGATGGCTAGAGTTGTTTCCTTTATTTGCAACAGTGCATGAGATCTGCATCGGTCGTCTTCCACCATCAGCCATAGTTGAATACAGTGAGAAGAAACCAAGGTTGTCCCTATTAGAGGACTCTGCTCGTTACCATTGACTTATCCATGGATAAAAGTAACTTACATTTCAGTTCACAGAAGTAGCTTTCTTCAGTTGCTTTTCAGT